ATCTGACAGTTACTTTAACATTAGTTGGTACACCTACTAACAATAATGTGAGCAAATTAAAAAAGAAATCCATGGAGAGTTGATCATGTTCTGGCCAAAAGAAGAATTTATATATTTTTTTTTTGATGTAGCAGGGATGGGTACAATTTCCCCTATACATTCTTGAAGATCGTAGATCAAATGTATATACAAAACATACATAAGAAGTCTACAAAAGTAAAAAAAATCTCGCTCCTATATATGCCGTAATCAAGTTGGCACAGAATGTATTGTCTTATATGAAATTGAGCTTCTTTTAAAAGTTGTAACTCCAAGATATCTGATCCATATAAAATACTGAACCTCTCAACTAGGTACCTGTTCTGGTATCCTTATCATTATTAGTTCCTGGAAGAGTGATAGTAATTGGTTGCCACTCAAAGTGAGTTTTGATGATCCAACCCTTCAGAGTGATAAAGTGAGTTTTGTTTAAGTCGTTGAAGTGGGGGTTGCAAATTGTCCGGGCGAGAGTTCAGTTTCACAAAGTTATCTGGAACAAGAGGAGGTTGGGATTGAGTATGCTGAGCAGGCTTATTTTCTATGAATTAACTGTTGTGGTTTTCTGAACCATCAGACTTTGTGAAAAAAAGATGTGGTAAAAACTGGACTGGTGCAACAGCTGGTGCGTGTGGGCTATAACTGCTACTAGTTTCTTCAACTTTAGTTGGCGTACCTGACATGCTGGTCATAGTCAGTTGATTCGAGTTCTTAGGTATGTAAATAGCCTTAGTTTTTGTATCAGAATAACATCCAGGATTGGATAAACTTTGAGCCCTGAAAGCAATAGCATTGGTATTGGTATTGGCATGGAGATTGGAAAAAGCAGGTTGGTTCGCTGATATAGGTTTAAAAATTGGAGTAGGTATATAATTTTGACGTAATGTGTTGGTACCAAAAGCAAATTCTGGTGGAGATCTTCCAGCAGCAAGGCTTGTCCATTGCCATACATTTGTGGCAGCAACAGCAAGAGCAGGAGAAGCATAAACAGGTTGTGCTAGAAGAATATTATACTTCCTCATCCGCAACTGATGAATGGCATTGGAGAAATCCCCATCTCCTGAAATGAGCAAATAATTTGCAGGTGCAGGATTGTCCACTGCCCATAATAACATATCCACCAAAATTCTCTTATCACTAGCATCCTTAGTCACTGTAATTCATCAAACAAAATTAAGTTGTTAGCATGGCTAGCTATAGAAATCCTACATACCACTCGATTTAAACTAATCTCAATTTAAAAGACTGATTGTTACTATACCTGCCGAGACGTGATTGAGACTGATTCCAGTAGTAGATAGGGCTTCTTGTATGGACGAAAGAATGCCATTGGTATCACCATAGGCAGAAATGGTGACTGGTCCATGATAGTTCATCTCCTTCAATGCTGCGTTTATATTCTGAGCGATTGCATGGGCATCACATCCCCTGGGCACCTGACAATTTTCTATATCCCACCACACCGACGTTTTTGCTGACGCGTATGGTGTTTCCGCCGCTGTTCCGTGGGGAAAACCCGGCTTCAATCCGTCTCCGGCCATCGCACCTGGCACTTGCACAGGCTGAATTTGAACTGCTCCCGCTATCACTTTTTGTAACTGCAGGCTTTCCATCTTACTGGGAAAAAACCAGAGGAAAAAAGCAACTAAATACTAGAGAGTAGATTATCAATCAAATGATTAATTTTAATCTTACTAGCTAAGTTGATTGGTAATGTCAACGGTGACCATTTAAATACAATTTCACCATTTCTCTTTTGGTAAATCTATTGAATGATTTCAGTCAACTTCCTTTATTTTCCCATTTCTCTTTCGAAATACACTATATCAATTTCCTTTTTTTTCCATTTCTGTTTGAGAAATCTAATAAATCAATTTCCTTTTTGGACTAGTTTGAATTGACTTGCAATTAGATTTGTTTCCATAAATAACTATGGAATGTTTATCTCAAAATTAATTTATTTTGTTGACCAGTTAAATTATATAGGGATAATGCATAAATACACTCAAGACTATGACCGAAATTTCAACACATATCTAAACTTAACTAGAGTCCTATTACCCCTTAAACTAATTTAAAATAGAATAAATACATCATAAATGTCATAGAGAGTGTGCACACTCGCTTGAAGGCAAGTTATGAGCGCATAAATTGGACACATGTCATTTTTTTATTGGTAACTTTATATTAGTTAGTATACATATTTATTAATAATAAAACTTATATATATTTAATTATTTTATTTCTTTCTTTGTAAAATATTTATTTTAATTTCTTTTCACTTTAATTTTTTTTAAATTAATTTATTATCTTTTCCTTTTAATTATTTATAATAATTTATGTGTATTTTTTTTATAAAAAAAAACAATTTAAAAGTGTCCTTTAATTGTAATGTTTTAATTTTTTTATGATTTATTTGATTTTCTTCACTTATTTTTATATCCGTTCAAAATTAACTTATTTTAAATACAAGACATTTGAAATCAAATCAAAACGAAAGACAAAGAAAATAAACTCAATAGAAAAATAAAAGAGAAAAAATAATGAATGTAAGCAAAAAAAAAATAGTTTCAATACAAGGTAAAAAAATGTGTATTAACTTAATTTAAATATAAGATAAAAAAATAAGATTTTTTTAAAAAAAAAATTATTTTAAAAAAAAATAATATTTACACACATGGCGGGCGAGTGTGTACAAACACAACTAACTTGAGTGGTTGAAAGGTGCCACATCAGCACAAAAGGTGCACAAAAATACGAAAAAAATGAGTTAGGGGTAATAGAATCTTAGTTAAGTTTAGGTTTGTCTCTGAGATTTCAGTCATAGTCTAGGGGATACTTATGACTTATCCCAATTATATAATAATCAAGTCACATGCAAAGTTACTAATTCAAATATTGTTAACCCTTGATAAGGCAAATGTAGAAATAATGGTATTAGGAAAATAATTGAATAGATGATCAAATCGAGAATAGAAAAATTTTATTGAGTTGCTCGAAACACTTGATGAACGGTGAAAACTAACAGAAAATATGTGTAGAGTCGTATGTAATCAGGTGAATTTTGAGACAAAAAGAAGTTATTCAGATGGGAGCTCTTAAAAAGGATTAAAAATAAGTTTATAAATTTGAAAAATCAAGAAAACAAAAAGAATGGGAGCTCCTAAAAAGGATTAAAAATAAATATTTTAAAAAATCTGGTGAATTATGAGAATTATGATATTTACATTAGTGGGCAAGTTGAGGAATTTATAAAATAAGATGTTAGATAACTGTTTTCATAATTCTCACATGTTTCAATCATTATATTGGAAAAACCGCACACATTTAATGGGATTCAATGAAACTCTAAGTATCTTAAATCTAATTGTTGTTTGAGTTATCTTGTACACATCATTCAATACACGAAATGTAGAAATGAGATATTCTCTCTTCCACTTCTAATCATCAAGAACTCACATTCTCTTCTTCTAACTCACTAAATCTTCTTAAACTACACGGTTCTCACCCAATGTTGGGCTCCAAATGTCCAGCCCTAGGCCTAAGGTGGGGCGTTGAAGAATGAAAGAAAGTCTCACATTGATGGTTAATGAGATGGATGGTCTCTTTATAAGGCTTGAGTAATCCTTCTCTCTTTGAGCTAACTTTTAGGATGTGAGTTAGCCCCAAGACCTAATTTCACATCTGAACTATCAGACCTCGCGAAAAAATTGATGCGGTGCAAAGTGAATTGGTGCAACTGTTGGTGTGTGTGGGCAATAACTGCTACTTGTTTCTTCAATTCTTCTGTTGTGCTTCTGTGAACTACCAGACTTCGTGAAAAAGAGATGTGGTACAAACTGCATTGGTGTGCGTCGGAAATAGCTGCTACTAGTTTCTTCAACTATAGCTGGCGTACTTGACATGCTGGTCATAGTCAGTTGATTTGAGTTCTTAGGCACGTAAATATCTTTAGTTTTTGTATCAAAATAACGTCCAGGATTATATAACTTTTGGACCCCAGAAGCATTAGCATTGGCATTGGAATAAGCAGATTGGTTTGCTGCAGGTATAGGTTGAAAAATTGGAGTCCGTATAGATTCTCGACGTAATGTGTTAGTACGAAAAGCAAGTTCTCATGGATAACCTCCAGCAGCAAGGGTTGTCCATTGCCACACATTCGTTTTAAATCTTTTATCTCAGACGGAAAATCCAACTTTAAAAAACAGAAAAACATATAGAACTCAAGAATTTTGCGTCTAATCCAATACTTTTCACCTTTCAGCTATTTTTTCATGGTATGACAACATTTCAGCCTGGGACAATTCACATAGATATATATCTGACAGTTACTTTAACATTAGTTGGTACACCTACTAACACTAATGTGAGCAAATTAAAAGAGAAGTCCATGGAGAGTTGATCATGTTCTGGCCAAAAGACGAATTTATATATTAGTATTTTTTTTATGTAGCCGGGATGGATACAATTTCCCCTATACATTCTTGAAGATCGTAAATCAAATGTATATACAAAACATACATAAGAAGTCTATAAAAGTAAAAAAAATCTCGCTCCTATATATGCCGTCATCAAGTTGGCACAGAATGTACTGTTTTATATGAAATTGAGTTTCTTTTAAAAGTTGTAACTCCAAGATATTTGATCCATATAAAATACTGAACAAGATCTCTCAACTAGGTACCTGTTCTTGTATCCTAACCATCAGACTTTGTGAAAAAGAGATGTGGTAAAAACTGGACTGGTGCAACAGCTGGTGCGCGTGGGCAATAACTGCTACTAGTTTCTTCAACTTTAGTTGGCGTACCTGACATGCTGGTCATAGTCAGTTGATTTGAGTTCTTAGGTATGTAAACAGCTTTAATTTTTGTATCAGAATAGCATCCAGGATTGGATAAACTTTGGGCCCTGGAAGCATTAGCATTGGTATTGGCATGGGCATTGGAAAAAGCAGGTTGGTTCGCTTATATAGGTTTAGAAATTGGAGTAGATATATAATTTTGACGTAATGTATTGGTACTAAAAGCAAATTCTGGTGGAGATCTTCCAGCAGCAAGGCTTGTCCATTGCCATACATTTGTGGCAGCAACAGCAAGAGCAGGAGAAGCATAAACAGGTTGTGCTAGAAGAATATTATATTTCCTCATCCACAACTGATGAATGGCATTGGAGAAATCCCCATCTCCTGAAATGAGTAAATAATTTGCAGGTGCAGGATTGTCCACTGCCCATAATAGCATATCCACCAAAATTCTCTTATCACTAGCATCCTTAATCACTGTAATTCATCAAACAAAATTAAGTTGTTAGCAGGGCTAGCTATGTAAATCCTACATACCACTAATCTCAATTTAAAAGACTGATTGTTACTATATCGGCGGGGACGTGATTGAGACTGATTCCAGTTGTAGATAGGGCTTCTTGAATGGACGAAAGAATGCCATTGGTATCACCATAAGCGGAAATGGTGACTGGTCCATGATAGTTCATCTCCTTCGATGCCGCGTTTATATTCTGGGCGATTGCATTGGCGTCACATCCCCTGGGCACCTGACAATTTTCTATATCCCACCACACAGACGTTTTTGCTGCCGCGTATGGTGTTTCCGCCGCTGTTCCGCAGGGAAAATCCGGCTTCAATCCGTCTCCGGCCATCGCACCTGGGACTTGCAGAGGCTGAATTTGAACTGCTCCTGCTATCACTTTTTTTAACTGCGCGCTTTCCAACTTACTGGAAAAAAGCAACTAAAGACTAGAGAGTAGGTTATCAATCAAATGATTAATTTTAATCTTACTAGCTAGTTGATTGGTAATGTCAACAATGACCATTTAAATACAATTTCACCATTTCTCTTTTGGTAAATCTATGGAAAGATTTCAATCAATTTCCTTTTTTTCTCATTTCTGTTTGAGAAATCTAGTAAATTAATTTCCTTTTTGGACTAGTTTGAATTGACTTGCAATTAAATTTGTTTCCATAAATAACTATGGAATGTTTATCTCAAAATTAATTTATTTTGTTGACCAGTTAAATTATATAGGGATAATGCATAAATATCCCCAAGACTATAACCAACATCCCAGACACTTAAACTTAACTAGAGTCTTATTACTCCTAAACTAATTTAAAATGGAATAAATACACCCCAAATACTAAAATGTCACAGAAAGTGTGCATACTCTCTTGAAGGCAAGTACATAGTGCACAAATTGGACACATGTCATTTTTTTATTGACAATTTTATAATTAGTTAGTGCACGTATTTATTAATAATAAAACTTATATATATTTAATTATTTTATTTCCTTCTTTGTAAAATATTTATTTTAATTTCTTTTCACTTTATTTTTTTTAATTAATTTATTATCTTTTAACTTTTAATTGTTTTTAATAAATTATGTGTATTTTATAAAAAAAAATTTAAAAGTATCTTTTAATTTTATTGTTTTAATATTTTTATGTTTTAATATTTTTATGTTTTATTTGATTTCTACACTTATTTTGATATTCGTTCAAAGTTAACTTATTTTAAATCAAATCAAAACGAAAGACAAAGAAAATAGTTTCAATAGAAAAATAAAAGAGAAAAAACAATGAATGTAAGTAAAAAAAAATAGTTTCAATACAAGGTAAAAAAATGTGTATTAACTTAATTTAAATACAAGATAAAAAAATTCTTAATTTTTTTTAAAAATTTAAAATTTTTATTCTAAAAAATAATAATTTTAATGAAAAAATAATATTTACACACATGGCGGGCGAGTGTGTTCAAACACAACAAACTTGGGCGATTGAAGGTGCCACATCAGCACAAAAGGTGCACAAAAATAAGCAAAAAATTAGTTAGGGATAATAGGATCTTAGTTAAGTTTATGTGTGTCTCTGGGATTTCAGTCATAGTCTAGGGGGTACTTATGCCTTATCCCAATTATATAATAATCAAGTCACATTCAAAGTTACTAATTCAAATATTGTTAACCCTTGATAAGGCAAATGTAGAAATGATGGTATTAGGAAAATAATTGAATAGATGATCTAATCGAGAATAGAAATTTTTTATTGATTTGCTCGAAACACTTGATGAACGGTGAAAACTAACAGAAAATATGTGTAGAGTCGTATGTAATCAAGTGAATTTTGAGACAAAAAGAAGTTATTCAGATGGTAAACATCCTCCACTTCCAATCATAAGTTTATAAATTTGAGTAATCAAGAAAACAAAAAGAATATGAGCTCCTAAAGAGGATTAAAAATAAATATTTTAAAAAATCTAGTGAATTCTGATATTTACATTAGTGGGCAGGTTGAGGAATTTATAAAATAATATGTTAGATTTCTGTTTCCATAATTCTCACATGTTTCAATCGTTATATTGGAAAAACCGCACACATTTAATGGGATTCAATGAAACGCTGAGTATCTTAAATCTAGCTCTTGTTTGAGTTATCTTGCACACATATACAACACATTATTCAATACACGAAATATAGAAATGAGATATTCTCTCTTCCATTTCTAATCATCGAGAACTCACATTCTCTTCTCCTAACTCACTAAATCTTCTAAAACTACACTGTTCTCACCCAATGCTGGGCTCCAAATGTCCAGCTCTGGGCCTAAGGTGGGGAGTTGAAGAATGAAAGAAAGTCTCACATTGATGGTTAATGAGATAGATGGTCTCTTTATAAGGCTTGAGTAATCTTCCTCAGGTGCAGGATATATTGTCCGTTGCCCAAAATAGCATATCCACCAAAACTGTCTTATCCCAAGCATCCTTAACCCCTGTTAATCAAACGGATCGGATGACTTCTTCTCCATCTTAAGCTCATGTCAGAGGCAAAGTGCAGAAAGGAAATTTTTGGCATTGCTTGCAATAAAAACCCATTTGTACTAGAATTTTTATATTCTTTTTGCATGCAAGATAAGATTCAATGATGAACAGAGATATGCATAATTAAGCAAGCCATGCAAGCTCAAATCATGTTAAAACGAATAATTGTTGATTAACTGTTTAGCTTGTTCTCGAGCTCCTGTCTTATGCCGTGTTCCCTTTATTAGGTAACTCTTTTCTAGACACGCTAGAAAGCTTTTCATATTTGGACACTGGGGCTTCCAAAGGAATAAAAGAAGCATGGATCATCATAAGCAGATGTTCCTTTTGGGGAAAATTGAGAAAAAAGAAAAAAGAAGGAAGTGATGAATAGAGAATTAAAAACACAAACTCAGAAATAAAAATGCAAATTCTGAAATCGAAACTTGAAAGTCATTAGATCAGACCTTAGCTATTCCTATCTATAGGAAGTTGAACAGCTCGAACATCCTTTATCTTCAAGTAGTTATACATCACAACACCACATATATAATGCTACACAAAAACAGAATTATTTAGTAAGATGTTTGATGGCATAAAGCTCCCATAGGACATAAAAATGAAGAAATACTAAGATTAACAATGGCATAAACCTACAATATTAAGAGTGGTTATTGTCGACTCTGGGACAATAAGAGTTGAAAGGGCAATAAGTATCCAATCTTTCAATACACCGGCAACTTAAATGGTTATAGCATCAGTTCTACCACTCACTAAGAAAATTGAGAAATTCGGAGCAAAAGCACAAAGTGCATTTTAAAAGAAATTCCAGAAGTTGAATTGAATTTGTGAGACTTCCATCTCAGGCTTCTCCAGAAGACACGGGACAAAGAGAAAGATAAAGCTGCACGTTGAAACATGTGATCATAAGTAACCCCAAGAAACAGTACGAAGACACTTGCAAGAAACAGTATGGAGGCACTTGCATGAGACTCCAATAACTATGTGGGATTGTAATTGGTAATTATAACCAAACATTGTACTTCGTGTGATGAATTTTATAAATAGTAATTAAAATATTACCAAACATGGTACTAGTTATGTTGATTTTAATACATGAATAATTCACTTCTTACCCAACTATCAAACACCCCTAGGCCTTAGGTGTTCATGTATTAACGTTCCAATCCGTTATGAAACAATTTGTTTCTTTTAAAAAAAATTATCTCGAACGGAAGATCCAATTTTAAAAAACACAAAAGCAAATTGAACTCAATATTTTTACGTCTAAATCAATAATTTTCACCTTTCAGCTATTTTTTCCTGGTATGACACATTTCAAGTTGGGACAATTTACATAGATACTTATCTGGCAGCTACTTTAACAATCATAGTTGGTACACCTACTAACAATAATGTTAGCAAATTAAAAGAGAAGTCCACGGAGAGTTGATTGTGTTTCTGGCCAAAAGACGAATTTATATATTATTTTTTTGACGTAGCAGGGATGGATACAATTTTCCTCTATACATTCTTGAAGATTGTGAATCAAATATATACAAAACATACATAAGAAGTCCACAAAAGTAAAAGAGATCTCGCTCCTATATATGTTGTCATCAAGTTGGCACTGAGCATACAGTCTTATATGAAAATGAGCTTCTTTTAAAATCCGTAACTCCAAGATATCTGATCCATTTCTGAAAACATATGTCATGGCTATGACATGGTAAAATACTGAAAGAGATCTCTCAACTAGGTACCTGTTCTGGTATCTTTATCATTATTAGTTTCTGGAAGAGTGATAGTAATTGGTTGCCACTCAGAGTGAGTTTTGATCCAACCCTTCAGAGTGATAATCATATTCAGGATTTGAAGTACTTCAGCCAATGTAAGGTTTTTGAGGCATGCATTTCTAAGAATCAAAGCGGCTTCATACCTGGAAGACAGACAGAACATGAGAAAAAAACTCTGAGAATCATTAAAAACCATGCAGCATAAATTGTTTACCTGCATTCAGATGCTGCTATCGCTGAATGTCCAACAGTTGAACAAAGAAATTCCTCAATCACATTCCAAGTTGCATCCTTATACTGGTTAGGATTGCCACCAAGTGGATTCACACATTTCCAAATCCTTGCAGTCCTACTAACATATAGCTCAAAATTAACTAGTCCTAACTTTAATATCATTTGTTGCTCTAGTGCAGTATTTAAGGCTACTGTAACATCAGTATGATGATATTCAGGGTTACTATAACGTATACAATAACGAAGGTTTTCTTTGGTAGGCAAAATCTTCTCGAACCTCAAAGTGTTCAACGAATTAAATATGACCATTATAAGACTTTGAATGTGTTTAGGCAGCTGGAGATCCAAATCTAAATTACCACAGACAGATTTAGAAACACCCAATGAGGGTGGAAGAAAGGAGAACTCAGGACGTACATCAGCCTTGTTCATAGAACCACATAAATCACCCCTACCTGCAAGAAAATTACCACCATTAGTTGCCTCAAGAAACTAACTGGCTTAGTAAACTTCTGTTTCGGTCACAATACTTACTTATTTTGTCAATAAAAAATTAGGAGTGTAATATAAGTTTATGGGGCTATCAGATAAATTACCCATGCCAGCGTTAGGATTATGTACAAATGGTGTAGAGAAATCAGCAGAATCTTCAGGTCGTTGAAGCGGGGGGTCCTGGCAAGAGTTCAATTTCACAAAGTTATCTGGAACAAGAAAAGGTTGGGATTGAGTACGCTGAGCAGGCTTATTTTCTATGAATTTACTGTTGTGGATCTCTGAACTATCAGACTTTGTGAAAAAGAGATGTGGTACAAACTGCACTAGTGCAACAGCTGGTGCGCGTGGGCAATACCTGCTACTAGTTTCTTCAACTATAGCTGGTCTGCTTGACGTGCCGGCCATAGTCAGTTGATTGGAGTTCTTAGGTAGATAAATAGCTTTAGTTTTTGTATCAAAATAGCATCCAGGATTAGATAAACTTTGGGCCCTGGAAGCATTAGCATTGGTATTGGTATTGGAATAAGCAGGTTGGTTAGCTAATATAGGTTTAGAAATTGGAGTTGGTATATAATTTTGAGGTAATGTATTGGTACGAAAAGGAAGTCCTCGTGGAGATCCTCCAGCAGCAAGGCTTGTCCATTGCCACACATTTGTGGCAGCCACAGCAAGAGCAGGAGAAGCATAAACAGGTTGTGCTAGAAGAATATTATATTTCCTCATCCGCAACTGATGAATGGCATTGGAGAAATCCCCATCTCCTGAAATGAGCAAATAATTGGCAGGTGCAGGATTGTCCACTGCCCAAAATATCATATCCACCAAAATTTTCTTATCACTAGCATCCTTAGTCACTGTAATTTATCAAACAAAATTAATGAATGAATTTGCACTAAAGAATGAGGTAACTAACAACTACCAATTTAAACTAATCTCAATTTAAAAGACTGATTGTTACTATACCGGCTGGGACGTGATTGAGGCTGATTCCAGTAGTAGAGAGGGCTCCTTGAATGGACGAGGGAATGATATTGGTGTCACCATAGGCGGAAATGGTGACTGGTCCATGATAGTTCATATTCATTAATGCCGTGTTTATATTCTGAGCGATTCCATGGGCGTCACATCCCCTGGGTACCTGACAATTTTCTATATCCCACCACACCGACGTTTTTGCTGCCGCGTACGATGTTTCCGCAGCTGTTCCGCGGGAAAAACCCAGCATCAATCCGTCTCCGGTCATCGCTCTTGACACTTGCAGAGGCTGAATTTGAACTGCTCCCGCTATCACTTTTTTGAGCTGCGCGTTTTCCATGTTTTTGAAGAAACGAGAGGGGGAAAAAGCGACTAAAGAGTAATTAGTAGAGAGTAGGTTATCAATCAAACGATAATCTTAATCTTAGTAGCTAAAGTTGATGGTAATCTCATGTTATTGGTGAACATTTAAATATACTTTCGCCATTTCTCTTTTGGGAAATCTATTGAATAATTTCATTCAATTTCCTCTTTTTCCCCATTTCTGTTTAAGAAATCTAGTAAATCTATTTCCTTTTGGGATTAGTTTGAATTGACTTGCAATTAGATATGTTTCCACAAATAGCTATTGAATGTTTTGCTTAAAATTCATTTATATTGTCAAAACAGTCGCATGCAACTTAACTAATTCAAACATTGTTAATCCCTGAATCTGATAAGGCAAATATAGAAATAATGGTATAATAATACCTCACTAAATTAATGATTCTCTAACATAATATTTTCCTCCCATTCCAACTTGGATAAGATAATATATTTTCAGAAAACTTTTGTATAAATATATGGTTCCATTAATATTATAAATTAATAATTCTATAAAAGTACAAATATATCTAAGACAACTTATTGAAATATGATTTTATTGCTTATATAGTTTATTCTCTCACCATCATTCATTGAATGTCTTTAGTAAATATACTATGAATAATATTTTATTATTAAGAAACAATGAACATTATACATGATGAATTTATTTTTACAATGAATCATTGAATTTATTTTACAATGAATCATTTAACAAAAAAATATATTACAATGAACATACACATATATCATACTTTATGTATAATGAATTTATTTTTATATGAATTCAATAAATCACAATTTAGGAAGATACAATGAGTTTGATATATTCATTGTACTTTGCGTATAATGAATTTATTTTTATGTGAATTCAATAAATATGATACATAAATTAGTAAGATACAATGATTCTAATATAAATGGAAGTTAATAAACTTCATAGGTATCCAAAGAAGAATAGTGGTAATACTGCTTATGCTAGAAAACCTAGCATGCAAACATATTACTATCTCAGGCCTACTCCTCAAGATGTTTTAATAGAGGAAAGAGATTGGAATCAAACTAACTCTTCTTATAGTGGAAGTGAGATTTATGAATGGAATCTCGATGGGTTAACTGATAGGCAGTTGAAAATTAATAATATTAATTTATTAATTAAATAATATTTCTACAAATAATAATATTTCATGGTCTCACTTATATCAATTTAGTGAGATTTTACCGTATTATGAAAACAATTGAACGGATGATCAAATTGAGAATAGAATTTTTTTTATCAAGTTGCTCAAAACATTTGATGAATAGTGAAAACTAACCAAAAAAAATGTGTAGAATAGAATCATATGTAATCGGGAAAAAAAATGTTGATAACTGTTTTCGTAATCCTCGTCTGTTTTGTAATAATATAATCTTTTACTTAGAAATGAATTTTTTAGTAGCTTTAGAGCTGTGATATTGGTCCATGTCATCATCATATATTATTAAAAGTGGGAAGAATCTAAATCAAAAGTTGAATTACCATTTCACCCTTCAACTAAATAAAAAATGAAAACATTAATTAATTAATTATTAAATAATAATCTTATTATATTAATAAATTATTATACTAATTCTAATCATCATATACAGTTAGCCGTCACTTCAAATTCCCAGGAGTTATGACCGTTTCATCTCCAATACCGCTACACATCTTTTCAGAAATCAAAAGTCTGAAATAGATCTCCTCAGTAATTAGGATTCATATACTGATCCAAGCGCAACTTCTACTTGTGGAGATGGGTCGCTTCAAGAATTACGGCCATGCTCTCGGGCCTGGTATATTTTTTATCCCGTTTTCTTTTCTATTTTGTTTGATTAAATCTTGAATAATAGTAGATGATAACAAATGGTTGTTTTGGTATCTGTTTTTCTATGGTTTCTTAATTTCTTTTTCCTTTTTGGGACTATATCATGTTAACTTATTTTTATTTTTCTCTCATGATACTATGACTTGCTTCAATTTAAATGGTGTCAAAAAGTGAGCTTGAAGTACTTTTAAATGGCATCAAGAATTGATCTTCAGGTTTCCAAAGATTTGTTGTAAGGACCTCGAGGAGAATATAAGATTTATCTAAAATGGCTGAGCAAACGAAGCAGGAATTGCTAACCAAATGAAGGATGCGTCCAAATAGTTTGTCTTTCAAGAACCAGTTATTTGGAAACACGTGTAAGGATAGGTACATAGTTCTCTTTTTTTTTTTTTTCCTAAACCAATATACTGGAAAAAAAAATAGAGTCCTTTTTCCTGTGTGACTACGATGCCTAGAGGATAATTTCACTTTTCTAATGAGGCTTTGTTGCATATGGTGGTGTAGAAGTGATCTCAGTAGTGATGCCATAAGAAAATGATGGTTGCCATCGTATGTATGAACTCGATGATTTCTTGTAGCAAATTGAATTTTTCAATCAACAACCTAACTTTTTCCCAGAGTTGTTATGTGCCATGATGTTAATATGAGCTATAAAAATGAATTCCCTTAAAATTATTTAGATCAGTCTATTTAACTTTGCTTCAGTGTTCTTTTTCCTACTTAACTCCGTTTTCTCAAGTAAATTTAATATTTTCGTTAGTGTGCTTGATAATCAAGAATTTCACTATGAATTGACGGAAGAAAAAAAGAAAGAAAAAAACCTTTATGATAACCATTTTCGTCTCAACACTTTCTTTCTTCACCATCAAACACAATGTCTTAGACCCTTCGTTATTAAAGCAATAGAAACACGGAGATAAGAGAAGAGCGATTTCTTATTCTTTCAATAAGTATGTTCAAGTGTACACAATATGAGCCTCTATATATAGTATTGATAGAGGCATACAAAAGGTTGTTATAACATAGCATTAACATGGGAGATTATGGGAAAAGTTAGAGGGTGTGAAAGTTCTATTCATTATGATGTATGTAGTGAAGGATTAACTATACATCATAGAGAATATTCGGGGACATCCATATTAATATTTCATAACCAAAAATCAATTGTTATTGCTTTGTTTCCTATTATATTCAGATTTTTTGATGTCCAAACTAGAGGGACATCAAGTCCATATTGCTATTCTTGGATCTAGAAAATGGTGCTCTTGGTGAAATAATTTCTTAATGTCTTACTGCATATGGATGTCACTTTTAGACGCTAGAATGTTCCCAATCTGCCATGTTTTGTAATGTGTTGGAAATTTTGGTTTTGATATTTGTTGCTCCACTCAGACTGCCTCCTTTTGTCAATGAAATGGCTTTAGCTTGGAGAGTCGACTAATGGTAATCACATAAACTCAACAATGAAAAATCTGGGTGGAGTAGATGACAAATATTTATAAGAATGAAATTCCTATGTTTGAAAGAGCAGGAGCAAGGAGATGGAAACTGGTACATTTCCTTTGCTTCTATTGAAATTGTCCAAGAAAATATACAGTGGTTGAATGGTGTTTATTGGTGGATGTTCTGTTTTCCTCTCCAAATCAAAGAAAAAAACTGTGCTTTCTTGAATTAAATACACTTTCTCTTATTTATACACATACAATGAAATTAGATCTTGACTTAAAATTTTCCTTTTTCTATTATCATTTTTCTTGACAGTCTTAAATTTTTTGTTTCTTGTGTAACTAGAGAATCTAGCATTTCAATTATAGTAATGAATCCTTTGTTTACAAATTCAAGATATCGGGACATAATATCTACTCCTTTAACAAGTATGTATACAGTCTGAGAAAAATTATGTACATGTGGATGAATATATAATTTTAAATTTACAACTGAGGATTTTATACTGGCTACAAATTTTATATAGTAATAGGGGGACAAACGTGCAACGCACGTTCCCAAGACTAGTTTGGTCTATACAATTTAAATTTAATTTTATACATTTAATATACCTTACTCAAATACATCCTAAAAAAATGATCGAAACGTAGATTTTTATAACAGTGTAAGTATATTCATATAAATTAATTTGAAGCTATACTCATCGCAGAGCATCTGCATTTGGAATGATCATATAAGGAAGAAGGATATACTAAAAGGTGATGGAAATGATTTTCGATTCACACTTATAATTTGAATGAATAGAAAAAAATGACTTTATATACTGTTATCTCATGTGCTTCATTCACAGATGTTCAATAATGCTTTTGGCAAATTTCAGTGAAAATAGTGAGGTAATTAAATAACATTTGTAATTTGCAACTGAGCCCGTTTGGATTGACTTAAAAAGTAGTTTTTAAGTCAAAAATAAAAAGTCAAATTTAAATGACTTTTAAGTCAAGAAATAAAAAGTAGAGGAAACCTACTTTTGGTTTTTAACTTATCATTTTAAACTTATTTTAAGATATTTTTAATCTTGTCAAACACTTCCTAACTTACTTTAAGTGATTTTTTTACTTATTTTAAGTTATTTTTATACTTATCAAATACTTCCAGAAGTCAAAACTATCTTAAAAGTAGGCTTGATCAACTTTTAAGTCGATCCAAATACCCTCTAAATCTCTCGTTTATCGGAATGAATCACTTGTGAAACTGCATATCTTCTAGCTCCTTTTTTTTATAGATATTTTGTTAATATTAGTGATCTCAAAACTAGCTAAAAGCTATGTCTTAGAGGGTAACTGTGTAATTGATAATATGAGTCATTAGCTAAAATTAGTTAGTGAAGTAGTTAGTGAAGAATTATTCCAAAAGTAAATTAAAGAGTTCGTCAACTAACTGTGTGTACATACACATATACAACACATCATTCAATACACAAAATATCGAAATGAGATATTCTCTCTTACACTTCTAATCCTCTCTCTGTATTACTGAGAGTGTCTCACGTTGATAGTTAATGAGATGGGAGGCTTGAGTAATTCTCCTTCCTTTGACCTAGCTTTTGGAGTTTAAGTTAAGCTCAAGACCTAATTTCACATTTGAACTATCAGACTTTGCGAACAAAAGATGTGATGCAACCATTGGTGAGCGTGGGCACCAGCTGCTACTTGTTTCTTCAATTCTACTGTTGTGCTTCTCTGAACTATCAGACTTCGTGAAAAAAAGATGTGGTGCAAACAGCACCGGTGCAACATCTGGTGCGCGTGGGTAATTGCTGCTACTAGCTTCTTCAACTATAGCTGGCGTACCTGACATGCTGGTCGTAGTCAGTTGATTCGAGTTCTTAGGTACGTAAATAGTTTTAGGAGTATCAAAATAACGTCCAGGATTATATAAACTTTGGGCTTTGGAAGTATTAGCATTGGCATTGGCATTGGAATAAGCAGGTTGGTTTGCTGATGTAGGTTTAGAAATTGGAATCGGTATATAATATTGACGTAATGTGTTGGTATTACGAAAAGCAAGTTCTCGTTGAGATTTTCCAGCAGCAAGGGTTGTCCATTGCCACACATTCGTTGCAGCAGCAGCAAGAGCAGGAGAAGCATTATTAAAAGGTTGTGCTAGAAGAATGTTATATCTCCTCATCCGTAACTGATGAATGGCATAAGAGAAATCCGCGCTTCCTGAAATGAGCAAATAATTGGCAGGTGCAGGATTGTCCACTGCCCAAAATAGCATATCCACTAAAATCTTCTTATCACTAGCATCCTTAACCCCTGTATTAATTCATCAAACAAAATTAAACCAGTTAATAAAAAATGATGTAACCAACAACTACAAATCCCAAACAAGATTAAGCTAGTAGGGCTCGCTATTAAATTTCTCAGAAGAGAGTAGGTGTACACAGATCTTATCAATGTAAAACCTTTGAAGGGTAAAGAGACTATTTTTGATAGACCTCTGGTCAAGAAAATCGTTTTCAACAAAAGTTTTAAAAGAAAAGTAAGATTAACACGAGCCTTATTAAACTTGATTCCACTAATTCATAGCAAATGAAGCAAAAATAGAAGAAGGTTTATTACTATACCGGCGGGGACGTGATTGAGAGCGATTCCAGTATTAGAGAGGGCACGTTGAATGAAGGAGGGAATGCCATTGCTGTCTCCATAGGCGGAAATGGTGACTGGTCCATGATAGTTCATATTCATTAATGCCTTATTTATATTCTGAGCGATTCCATGGGCGTCACATCCCCTGGGCACCTGACAATTTTCTATATCCCACCACACAGACGTTTTTGCTGCCGCGTACGGCGTTTCCGCCACTGCTCCACCGGGAAAACCAGGCTTCAATCCGTCTCCGGCCATCGCATTTGGTACTTGCACAGCCTGATTTTGAACTGCTCCCACTATCACTTTTTTGTTCTGCGCGTTTTCCATCTTTTTGAAATAACGAGACGAAAAAAAAAGGATTACAGAGCAAGGTTATAAGTCAAAAAGATGATCTTACTAGCTCAATTGATTCGATTATATCTACTTTTATATTGTTTGCAAACGTTTAAATCTTCTTCCCTATTTTTTCTTTGAGAAATCTATTAAATTAATTTCTTTTTTTTCCTATTTCTCTTTGGGAAATATATTAAATCGATCTTCTTTATTCCCCATTTCTCTTGTGGATATCTCTTAAATCGATTTCCTTTTATATCCATTTCTGTTTGAGAAATCTATTAAATTAATTTCCTTTTGGGGATTAATTTGAATTGACTTGCAATTAGATTCAATTTCCTTTTGGAGATTAGTTTGAATTGACTTGCAATGAGATATGTTACCATAAATAACTGTTGAATGTTTAGCTTAAAATTCATTTATTTTGTTAACAAGATAAATTATTTAATAATCAAGTCACATGCAACGAAACTAATTCAAATATTATTAACCCTTGATAAGGCAAATATAGAAATAATGATGTTATGAAAACAATTGAACAGCTAATCAATTTGACCTAAGTGAAAATAGAAAATCTTGTTGAGTTCTCAAAACACTTGATAAACAGTGAAAACTAACAAAAAATTATGTGTAGAGTCGTATGTAATCAGGTGAATTTCGAAACAAAAAAGAGTCATTCAGATGGTAAGCATTCTCCACCTCCAAACATGAGGTTATGAATTTGAGTAACCAAGAGGTACAAAAATAATGGGAGTTCATAGAAAAAAATGATATTAAAAAAATTAACTGAATTCTGATATTTACAATAGTGTGCAAGAGAAAAAAATTATATGTTTAGATGTTGATAACTATTTTCGTAATTCTCGCCCATTTCGATTGTTACATGGGTAAGATCGTGCACATTTAATGGTATTCAATGAAATTCTGAATATCTCCAAAATCTAGCCGTTGTTTGAGTTTTATCTTTTACCTAAGCGGATGGATTATTCTGGAACCCTACTATCCGTCATCCGGTGCAAATAAGATAGATACGGAATTAAGTTGATTCTCTGATGGTCGAACAAGTCTTTGGATAGAATGTCCTTGACTAACTCCATCCGGTGCAAATAAGATAGATTCGAAATTAAGTTGATTCTCTGATGGTCGAACAAGTCTTTCTATAGAATGTCCTTAACTAACTCAATAGATTGTAATTTTTTCTATGCGTGCCACGTGTTGATTATATAGTTCTCATTTTCGTCATATTTTTGTCAATAGATTGGATATATTTATGAATCATCTATTTGACTTTAGTGTGTGGCGTTTTGGATCATCAAATGTATGAAATAAATAATAGTCCAACAATATGAATCTTTTACTTAAAAACGGATTATTATTTTTTTAGTAGCTTTCTTGTTGCTATATTTGTTGGGTCACGTTAAAAATCACGTTAGAGCTATGTAATATTAACGGTCGTAGCCACTAAAAAAATGTTACGCTAGCTGATTGTTGCTTTTCATTTCAATATCTACCATCGACTTTCTTCGTGGTATCCAACAGAGGATAGCTGGTACAACAATAAATAGAATAGATGAATGGCAAAGGTAAAATTACACATTACATGTTAACCCAGATTAGCAATTACTTAAATTCTCTCAGCAAACAAAGAAAAGAATTGGATCCATGAATCAGTTTAGATATCAGAAAACCGTAAAAGAAAAAAACTGAAGTATTGTCAATTTCTACACCAGTCCCAGAAAGTTGCCTCAGCTAAAATCTATGATCAAGATTTTCTTTGCCAAGGCATAATAAAAGTTAACTCAACTATGGATAAGCATACAAACTACCTTAGTGGGGTTGAGAATATCATGTGATGTTAAAAAATCAATATTTCATTGAATATGACGAGCCTAAAACAATATTACAATAAATAACTAGTAGCAATGTTAATGGCGGTAGTACTCTGCAAAGAAATGCAATTCTTACCAAAATGGTGGAGAGTGTATGAACAAGACCCCGCTCTCATCAATCTGCTTGATACTGTGATTCTAACAAATGAACCCAAAATGACATTTATAGAATTAACGGTTCTCATGGTGAATAGCTGCTAAGTGGGCTTCGCCCAAGATGAGAGACCCTACTTGAAGGAATAAAGGGTGCTTCCTCATCCACAATTGAATCCGGAGACCCATTCCTTGAACCTTTTCCTCCACTGTTCTTAACAATATCGTCTGGTACATACAGATCGGATGACTTCTTCTCCATTTTAAGTTCCTGTCAGAGGCAAATTGCATCAAGGAAATTTTTTTGGCATTGCTTGCTATAAAATCCATCTTTACTAGAAATCTTGTTTGCATGCAAGCTAAAGATTCCATGATGAACAGAGACATATATAATTAAGCAACCATGCAAGCTCAAATTATGTTAAAAATAATAACTGTAGATTATATGTTTAGCTTATTCTCTTGCTCCTGTCTTATTTCTTCTTCTCTTTATTAGGTAGCTCTTTTCTAGACAAGCTAGAATGATTTTCAAACTGGAAACTGGGGCTCCCAAAGAACAAAAGAAGTATGGATCATCATATGCTGATGTTCCTTTTGGGGAAAATTGATAACAAGAAGGAAGTGATGAATAAAGAATAAGAACACCAAACTCGAAAAACAATAATGCAAATTCTGAAATCGAAACTTGAAAGTAATTAGATCAGACCTTAGCTATTCGATCAGAAACACTATCTACAGGAAGTTGAACAGCTCGAACATCCTTGATCTTCAAGTAGTTATACATCACAACACCACATAATGCTATACAAAAACAGAAATATTTTAGTAAGATGTTTGATGGCACAAAGCTCCCATAAATAAGAAGAAACATGAAGCTTACCAATGGCATAGCCTGTAATATTAAGTGTGGTTATTGTTGACTCTGGAAAAATTAGTGTTGAAAGGGCAATAAGTATCCAATCTTTCAAGACACCGGCAACTCGGATGGTTACAGCACCGGTTCTACCAATCACTAAGAAAATTGAGAAATTCAGAGCAAGAGCACAAAGTGCATTTGAAAAGAAAATCCAGAAGTTGAATTGAATTTGTGAGACTTCCATCTCAGGCTTCTCCAGAAGATACCATGGGACAAAGAGAAAGACAAAGCTGCACGTTGAAACATGTGATCATAAGCAACCCCAAGAAATAGTACGGAGGCACTTGCATGAGACTCCAAAACCAAATAAAAACAGAAATTCAGAATACAGAGATAACTCTCATACTTGCTTATTATCAGATTCAGGTGACATATAGCAGCAATTGCCTCTTACAGAAAATCTCTCGCCAAGTGAGATAAACAAAACTAAGGAGAGGAGCACATACATAGCAGAGTATGTGTCTATCTATGTGTGCAGAGAACAAATTTTCCATAAATGAACTAGCAACCAAATACTAATCCCCCTAGCATTATTTCTACCTATTTTGACTTCATCAAACCAACCAGGACACAGTAATAACTAATAAGTCATGCCAGATGCAGGACACAGCTAAACACATGACTACATGCTAACGGAAATATAAGTATGGCCACTTGTTCCCAAAAAAGTATAATTATATATGTCAGAATTCCACAAGAAAGAGATGTGTGGTTACACTCTTCCAGCTTGAGCTATAACATTTAGAAGGACATACTCTCAAGCAATTTGAAACTAACGATAAATTTAACAAAAATGAGATATAGCAGTGCCTCTTTCAAGTTTTAATATCAGCAGTAAGCTGATCTGAGGTACATTGCAGTCATAATGTCATGAAATGATGAGCACTCTAAAGAACAAAAAGATGAAAAAGTAGCTCAACCCCATCCCGAAAGGTACATTTATGGCAGGAATCAAATGTATGGAAAAGGTTTCCAATTGTATGTGTTCTCGATTTACTTTTCTCCCTTTCTCCCAAGTGAGAATGAGCAAGGAGGGAGGTTTGGAATCATTAAAAACCGAGATCTAACTGGAATCTCTTTTTTTTCTTTTTTAAAGAAGTAAGATCTAACTGGAATCAAATAGACCTCAACATAGGATAATCTATTCAACTGCACCACATGAGAGCAAATAACTCAACTCAATGAGATAGGGAATCTATTACATACCTGCATGGAGCTATGTAATATAGACTGGTGATAGGATTGAGAGTTAGTCCCTTCTTCTGAAGCAGAACTTGAGTTAAGACCAGCCTAAGCGCCTCAGCAAATATTCCAGTGACCTGATAAACTGTACCAACTATGTTGAAGTGAATTTCTCCATAAGATGAAACTACAACACCGACGCTGACCAACAGCATGTTCAGGAATAAATCGTATCTTAACTTGTCAGTTCCACAAATAACAGCCATGACAAAGGTGGCAACTGGCACTGTATTTTCAACACAAAGATCCAATCAGTACATTTGCAAACAAAGGATACAGACATAGAAAAGTGTTACCCAGGCATACTTAGAGCTTTAAGCATCTGGATAAAGGCTACAGAAATGAACAGATAAGCTGTGTTTCCAAACCTGCAATAAAACAAACATAAGCTAACTTTACCAATGTTCAAAAAAAAAATTAACATAATTATTAGAACCTAATATTCATGTGAGTAATGAAACATATAGCAACTGAAGCAAATGGGAAAACACTCCCCAAAGAAAATATTTTTTTGACAAACAAGGAGACCAAGTACGTGGAAAACATCAATTGCCCAACCAAACCAACAATATACCCTACCAAACCAAAGAATGTTAATTATGCACGAAAGTGTCCCACATTTTCTAATCACCCCAATTCTCATAGTTTTACTATAATTCCTCCTCTACTTTCCCAGAGAAGTGGAAAGTGACAAGGAGGAGAAAGGAAATTTAACCAGCCAAATTCTTCCTCTGTCATAGCAAAACAACTACTTCTACGAGACAATTAGTCAACAGAGGAAAAGCATTTGGAAATATTCTTGAAACCAATCAATAAAACCACTGTAACTGATGACAAAGAAGGTTATATAAATGCTAAATTTGGCTCAAAACTAGTTCATTGACCTCAAATGTCCAGACTGCTTGGAAATTTTAAACACAAATCATCAAATAACCAAGAAGGATCAAGTGTCATGCATCATTAGAAACAGGAACAGTAGAATACATTCTTTTCTTCTTCTTTTTCCGCTTTCTATTAGTGAGTTCCAAAAGGCTGACTTGGTCAGTTGGACAGATGTACGATGAGAAAAATTTATGCCAATCTAACAGATCTTTCTTTTAACATAAGAGCAGAAAACAATAATATCACGTAAAAATACTTGTTTAGGTTAGATTTAGATTCAAAGGTATAACTAGTTTCGTTGTTAGTGCATGATCAGTAGGCATTAGATCTTCATAATCGGTTAAAGGTCAATTCTCAATGATTACAAAAATGCATTCATAACTAATTCATTTTTATCACAAGTTTCATGCCAACCCATCATTGAACCATTTACTAATTATGAGGTCACATAATACCTTAGAAAATGCAATTGAATATTCTAACCAAAGGCAAGCAAGCCTTTCAGTTCCTCGAAGTAGAATCTTACCAAAGACTTGATGCAAAGAAAGCACTAATGGGAATCACACACGTCGCATATCTGCAGATTCAGCAATAAATAGTAAAATAAGATAACATACATCATTACATCTGAAGGCAATGTGGATGCAAAGGACCAAATGCTTACATTTCAAACGTCATTTTGACAGGAGATACAACCTGCAGAAAATTAACATGGATGGAAGGAAATCAGTTGATCCCTAGTCTTATACATCAAATGGAATGAAAAATTGTGCACTATATAAATTAGTTTCCCCTCCAGTAGATGAAAAGTGAGCCGTGATCAAAATTCAGAAGCTAAGGACAGCCAAATGTCAAATTAGATATCTAAACATGAACAAATATACAAATCAATTTATCTGCTGAGAACTCTCCACAGGGCCCAACTGGGTGTCTAAAATGAGGAATTCTACAAGTGGTTCTTCAGAATAACCGCAGATATTTTAGAGTTACCTGGTACCTCTACTGGTGAGAGATAGCAGGTACTTCATGGAATTAGTCGAGGAGCACGTAAGCTGGCCCGGACGCCACAGTTATCCCAAAAAAAAAAAAAAACACTGCAGAAACCTCTCCTCAGGCCTCAAGGGGTTAAAGAATACGATAAATCATTAAAATAGAAACTGCTCCGCTCAGAAGCAAGCCCAGAGACAAAGATCACATCAAAAGCACAAAAGTAACAAAGGTTGAAAATTAACATGCGATGCGATGAGTCGCTTCAAAAATCTGCAACACTGGTAAAATGAAAATGATGCATAATGATCCAAAAAAGAAAACACTCAACAACAATCAATAGATAAGCAAGAAGTTGTCATCGAGGAGCAGAAAGTGGAATGCTGCAAGAAAAATAACACTGTAATTACCAATAACAAAACAATACCTTGAAGACACGGATAAGAAGGAAAGCTACTAAGCCCGAGAAGCCCATATGAATCATGGTAAGTGTTATTGGTAATGGGAAATTGAAATATTTTGGGGAGAGTACCCACTGCCAAAAAAAGCCAGAATAAGAATCATTAGCTCTTATAAATGGCACTGACAAGATTAAGAATATAACTGGAATGATACAGAAAATAAATTGAGCAGCAGTATTGTCTGTTTTCCTAAAACAACAATGCATAAAGTGCAGAAAGAAAGAAAAACACCATACAACAAAAGAACAATGAGAGTGAGAAAGTGGAAGTTCGTAACACATTGCTTATCCTGGAGCATGGTTTCCCAATACCATCTATCATTTCTCTTTTACATCTCCCTTTCCACGCCCTCCTAAACCAGTTACCAAAAAACTGAAGCTCTAAAATGTTAGTCAGTCCTTTTTCCCCGCAACTTACCCGGCAAAAGCAGAAACATAATTGGACCCAAAACCTAACGAACTTCAAAAGGGTAAGTCGAGGGGGGAAGAAAAAAGAGGAAAAAGGGAGAAAAAAGAAAACAAAGAAAGGAGTAAATAAACAAGTGCTTTCAATCTTAACATTGATGTTAATGGATGAGGTTTCTACAGTTCTGTAGATGCAACAAGTATCTTTAACAGAAGATAAAGGGTACTATCTTTGAATTTGGGGAAAATGCTATAATACTAAAAGGTTAGAGGGAAACAACAACAACATACCCTGTGAAATCCCACAAGTGGAAAGGTTAGAGTGAAACCTGTCCTCTATATCTTTTAAGTGAACAACAACTACTGCTTTAGTATTATATTATTTAAGTTAAAACCTCTATTCTAATATGCCGAGAATGACTCCCCATTTAGCATCTTCAATAACCATGATTTTAGAACAATGTCTATCTTTCAATGATCCATAGACCAAACACGTATGGTATATTGAATCATCAGCCAATGTCATTGGTTTTCAAATCAAAAGCCACAACTGGATTATTACTCACAGTGTGGTCGGTTCCCCACCAAGATGTTTCTCTTCCATTCATGTTGTTTGGTGTGATTGGATGGAACATAAGAAACTATTTTCTAATTTTTATTCAATCTAGACTGATTGAACAAGCTGATTATGGATAGAAAATGGCTTGATAAAAAACTCCCGTACTCTTCTTCCCAACTTCCTCAACCAAGAAGCTAACAACATGCGGACTTAAATTAATTGCTCCTTCGGAGCCAGAGGAAGTAAATCAGAACAGCTTGTCATTTTTTTTATAGATGTGATAACAGCTTGTCACTTTTGGTTGTCCACCACATAGGTTGCCTGAACCACAATGTTAATCTTATTTGTCCCTTTTAAGTTCTGAACATGTTCTATTGAGTTGAAAATGTAGAATATAAGAATAACCTAACCAACAAACAGTGATCATACCAAAAAAAAAAATTGAAGCCAAAGAATCTCACAGAACATTATAGAAAAAAATATACCTTGTTGTACAAAATAACTCCCGAGGATAGCACTATATAGACAAGGAGATATATATACGTCAACACAAGTTGTTTGCTGACCATCATCTTTTCTTCTCTCCACTTTGTGCTTTGCTAGCCGGTTCCCAACCTAGCTAAAAATCTAAGAGATGCCCACCAATCCAAAAATTGAGTAACAAAAATCCGCAATATGTTTGCTGATAAGAGGTACACCTTCAATTCAACTGCTGTTTATTCATTAAAAGATGATGTATGATGAGCCAAGTCTGTTTATGAATACGCTGTTGTCATAACAGGGATTGGTAGAATCTGGAAATATATGATAAAAGTGAGGAACGTTTTCATTAAAAAAATTATAATAAGAACTATTCATTCATTATTGACAAAACAATTAGAACAATCTCGTCAGATAAAGCAGGACTAACACTTCCACCAGAAGCGAAGAAACTCATTTCATGATGAAGAGCAAACATGTATGACATGGGAAAAAACACAATTACTGCAAAAGCAACCATTATATACCCTTTTTGGTGTGTGTCCGTATTCAGTTAATGGTTAGATATGAACAAATAGAAGATCAGATGCATAATGCATAATGCATAATGTCATCTGGTCAGTTCATGAAATGCAAAATAACAAAATTATCCAGCAAAGTCTGGTTACCTCAAGAACATGCAGAGACAGCTATGGAGTAGAGGCTAGCCAGGGTTTAAGAAGCGTCGAGTCTGTTAGTACAGAAAGTAATTAGCAGCTTGAGTAATATAATTACACACATAATACTGTTTTTTATAGCTTCAATGAAGATGGTTGCAGTAACTCTTGAGCATGGCACACATTGAGCATGAAATGTAGAAATTTACAGAAAAAAATGATAGCAACCTCAACTTCAACTTGAAACTCTTTTCCCACTCTCTGTAAGTGAAACTTAAAAGCTAGTAATTTATTTCAAACAACTAATGATAGTCAACAGCACAGCGAGCCGAAAACAGCAGTCTCAAATTATCAACCATCAGCATTTTCCCGATGCTGAATAGTGATTACAATCCAAGGTAACCATATAAGTAAATTCACAAAAAAAAAAAAAAAAAAAAAAAAAACTACAAAGTACTGTACGGAACTAAAACAGAGCATACGAACAAATGAAGGAAACAAGTACAAATACAAAAAAACAATAATGCAGGCATCTGAAGCACGTAAAGTTTAAACTAAAAGAAAAAGAGAAATCATAAATTAAGTGAGAGGTAAAAGTGAATCAGGTTGAATGCGAGGGAGTCAAGTGAACGAAAATGAAGAAATAGAAGTGAAACTCCTTACGATTAGAAGAAGCTCCGAGAGGCGAATGAGAAGAGAGACAGATCTGAGGCAAGCGAGTTTGAGAGACGGCGAGATGCGATCAATGCTCGCCCGCTCGATCTGGAATGGTTGATTGAATCCTTTGCCCTAATAATGCAATTGAAATGGAGTAAGTTTTTTTAGCGGCCCTAAAAGTAGTTGTTGAAGAAGATCAAGCAAAGGTTTAGCCAGTAGCAGAAGAAGAAGAAGGTGAAGATGGAGAGTTTGTCCCAAATGTAGAGGTGTGGTGTGGTCAAAGACAATGCGTTTTCTTTTCCCACTCACCCGCCTATCAAAAAAAAATTGCTACTTCTTTCCTTTTAATTTGTTCGTTAAACTTTCTTTGTTTAGTTCGTTTTTGTTTTTTGTTTTTAAAAAAAAAATAGATATTCTCTTCGTCCAACAATAATTGTATATTACTATTATTTTGAGATGTTCAATAATACTTGTTCACTTTATGAAATCAATAAATAATTTTATATTTAGTTTCTAATTTACACTTGTTATTAATTATAGTCATTTATTATATTCAAAGGTTTGATATAGTAAAATTACCCTTCTATTTATAGTTTCTTAATAAGTGGACAGGTATTGTTGGACAGAGGGAGTAGTATTTAATTTATTACTCATACTCTACACCATCGATAATATTTTTTGGGTCGTTCACTAGTCGGTGAAAAAGTAATTTTTTTTATATTAATTTTTATACAAGTTATAAATGTTTTAGCAACTAGTTAGGAATTAAGTTATTTATGAATAAAATTACTTTTAATTTGTAATTTTGAAATCATGTAACTAATACATGTTTAATTTATGTATTGCGTGATCAACTAGGATGCCTTATAAATATTTAATTTTACTAGCTAAGAATATTCAATTTCTATATTATTTGGTTCTAATCTGTTCCATTTCAACGTTAGAGAAAAGAAACACGAAATTAGCATGGCTATATCTCTAGTAGTTACTAGTGCTCCATTATTCCAGTAATTACATCTCCATTTATTGTGTTATGTTCTTCTGCCACACTAAAGTTTAGATATTTGAATTTGTCTACATTTAGACGTCATATGTTGTCGACTTTATTAGGTAAAATTGTCAGAAATTAGTAAATTACCACTATTTATCAAAAATTACCAATATTAGCTAACATTTATTTGTTACAAAACTTTTGTCCCTGTCGGAAAGTAAAAGGTAGCTCTAATGTCAATTCAATTAATAGTTTCCAAGATTTGCAGATCACAAACACAAATTTTCTGCCATTAGATTTAGGTATAAAGACACATATTGTTGTTAACATAAAGCCCACAAGTCATATCCTATCAAAAGTATAATCATCACGTGCAAACGGTTAAGCATATATTTCTACTTTTGTTAATTTTATTAAATTCTTCACACTACCTGAATCTTTTCTACAAATAGATTAAGAATTACGTGACTTATTTCTTTTGTTTAACTTTAATCTAATATTATTTGTTTCCTTTCGACTAAGTACGAGTCTTAACATCAAAGTATCAGACAATTTTTCAACTATTTCCGGAATGTTCGGATTATTTATTTTTTTGTTTAATCTAACTCTTATCGTGACAATTAGCTAGACTTAAGCTAAGGATACGCTACAAAATTAATTATTCTGAGATAAATTATTTTATTGTGTATATGAGATAACACATATCATTAAGGTATAAATGATGAGATAAATAATGCAAAAAATATCTAATACATTCAACTAATCATGTATTTTATCCTGAAACTATGCCTTATACCAAAGTCCAAAACGACTCCTAAGAGTAAGACAATAAAGGGTCCTTTGATTGCTCGTTAGAGTTATACATATATTAGTGATATACATGGACTAATTATGCAGGGTATAGTTATTTCATATTTCACTAGCTCAAACATGAATTCCATATATCAATTACGTGGGATTGTAATTGGTAATTATAATCAAACATTGTAATGTGTGACAAAATAGCAACTACAATATTACCAAATATGGTAATCGATTTTAATAAATGAATACACTTACGTTCCAATCCGTTATGAAATGATCAGTTTTCTTTTTAATTTTCTTATCTCAGATTACACCCTAAAATAATCATTTCATGACTATTAAAAACGAATCGAATCATGGTCAATTTTTCCGACTTTCTCCTATGAAGTCAAAAAGATTGACGATCCAACTTTAAAAATTAGAGAAGCAAATTGAACTCAATATTTTTGCTTCTAATTGAATTGTTTTCAGTTTTCAGTAACTTCATTAATATTTATTTTGTTGGTGGTATGACACATTTCAGGTTGGGACAATTCACATAGATATTTGTCTGACAGCAACTTTAACACTCCAGTTGGTACACCTACCACAATAATGTGAGCAAATTAAAAGACAAGTCAACAGAGAGTAGATGCATTCTCTACTTTTACCTCGTGTTTCTGCCCAAATTATAGTGTAATATTATTTCTTTGACGTAGGAGGGACGGATACCATTCTCCAAGATTATATATACGTACAAATCACACAAAATGTAAGTAGGTATTATTTTAACACAATCACCTAAAGGATATAAACCCAAATTATTCCCCGAAAATCTAGCTAAACAATTTTTGACTGAAAACTAGAATTACCAATTCCCCATTTTTAGACGTAAATGTGAAACCGATAAAAAAATCTCATGCATCCACTGCCTTACTTACCGCACCACCTTCTCTTCTTTTTTTTCCCTGAAATGTGTGCCCTGTACTATTTATAAACACCGGAAGAACTATCAAAAAGGTAGTGCACTTAAACCCTTTCTGCTACCACTTCATTCTGCTCCCGGAATATCTGCCTTAGCAACAGAACAAAGTCTACTTGATCAATTTGTATGCTTTCTGGGAACAAGCCCCCATCTTTTGTTCCATTTTAAAGATCCATAGGCCATAAAGATTAAAAAAATATTCAAAAAGAATACATCCGACTTCCATTGAAAAATAAAAAGAAAAGCTGAACAAAAATCATTGTTGACTAATATATTTTACATGGAATTACTAATGTTATCGTTATAAACAAGGGCCGCATGGACCATGAAACTGCATCAGTTAAGAGCAGAAGCTGGGCAAGCTTGTTAGACTATGCTGATATTACCCCCTTCAAAAGCCACATTTTATGTTGAAATTGATTGAATTAATGAGCACGGAACCAACTGCACTGTACAGTCCTTCATGTACAGGAGGACTTCCAAAATAACGAATAACTGAAAGATAAATGCCAATGGGAATTCTTGAATTTTTTTCCCCACAGAAAGGGGATAAACTTGCCCATTGATTATGCAATATTCCGCAAAAAACTAATATCTAGTGAAAAATAAAAAAGAACCTTGGTCCATGTTACAAAAGAAGATGAACGATGATAACAAAGCTGAATTCTTGAAGCTTTGCCCCTTTTCTGTGTCAAGCGCCATTATAGAATTCCGCTGGCATCATCTCAATAGAGGTGAAGGATTGACGACAATTTGCTTCAACGGATTCGCAACATCACCGCCACCAGCATGCTTCACAAACTCAGCTGGCGACAGAAAGTTGCCATGACAAACGCACATTATTTTCACTTCCTCTCCCTTCTGATATCTATACAGAAATCCTTCGATCTTCTTACCATTTGGCCCATTGCCCATTGTGGAAACACAAGGCATGTTGAGCATGTAGTTTTTGAACATTTCTTTTGCTTCCTTGCTAGCATTTCCATTACATGTGCTAGCTGGTTTTTCGCTTGTGATTTTAGGTGGTTTAGCTACCTGTTTCCGTTCATGCTCTGAAGGCTTGATGCTAGCCGGAGTATTTGCCCCAGTACTGTTGTCACCTGGCCCTGCAATAGTTAAGATTTGAAAATAGGTCAGTTCCTTCCTGTCCAGAATTTATTCGCAAGAGAGAGATAGTGAAGACAATCTATCTATCAACCACCTGCAAGGACAGATGACTCGATACAGAAATCAAAGCTTACTTCAAATCTTAACAGCGCTAAAAACATTGTGTTAGAGAGATCCCGCTGAGGACATCATGCTAGAGCATCAAGAGAAAGCACATACGTTCACCACTAAAATTAGTTGCTATTTTGAGTTGGAAACGCGGTGACAAAGGAGGGATAAAATTCTACTAGAACCCCTCTCAAAGGACATATAGGCAATTTAACTCTTCTGCAAGCGGTAGCTGTTTTGAATTGGAACATACAGTGTTGCAGGAGGGGTCAAATTCTCTACGACAGGGGAAATAAAACTCAACCAAAAGACACATCAGACCAGGCAAAGCAAATCAAAGGCAACAAGACTCCTCTGCAGGCAACTGCTGGTTTGCATTGGAACTTATAGTGTCGAAGAAGAGATAAGATTCTGCTTAAACATAGGAAATAAGACTCCACTAAAAAGACATTTTGTCATCCCAACAAAGGACACTCAAATTCTACTACTGTAACATGCAATGGCAGTGGCGGATCCAGGATTTTAATATTGTGTATTCGTTTAGTTAATATAAAGTTGCTACACTTGGTGCAAGTGCTATAAGTGCACAATTATTTAACCGAGGAGGTTAAAAAAATGAACAAAATACCATTAATAGTATCATTAGATTAAAAAAAACTCCTACTTTTCTGGAAAAAAGGAAAGAATTAGCCTCAAGGATTTCTTAACCAAATTGCTAAATTTTCATTAGGAAAAAACGAGAGAAATGTTTGTTAGCTGATTCTTTTTCTCTTTCTGTCCAAAAAATTTACAAACATAAAAGCAAATTTAAAACTCAACGTAAAAGTAACCAAAGCAACAAAAAAAGAGAGGAGGAATGTAATTGCAAACTAGAATAAGCAAATACGAATAAGAATCACTAAAATTAGGCAAGAAGAATGTGTATCAGGGGAAAAAATTGAAAACAATTGACTTGAAGCAGAAAAGATAATGACTAATAAGAGAGCATTTGCATCACCTGAGTATCAAATAAATGACTTTACTAAAAGAGCATTTGCGTCACCTGATTATCAAACTCAGGACACCAAAGACGCACTTACAATTTAGCCACACCTAACCAAAGCACCCGGCGAACTATTTGTTCAGTTGGTGGTGCTATAACCATAATTTTAGAAGTTCCTATATAAATGTACAAAATTATGTCAGGATTAATGGGTGCTTGAGCACTATGTTGCTTGGACTCTTCAAAAATGTCGAGGGGTACATGTCGGATTCGCCAAAAGTAGTGTATTTTTGGAGAATCCAACACAGGTGCAGCATCAAAAGTGAAGAGTCCGCGCAACTTAGCTTGAGCACCCAGTAAGCTGCAGGTGGGTCTTCCC